GAATCTCAGGTTTGGAAGGTTGTTGTTGTTTTCTTAAGCCCCAACTGAACAGAAACATCATTTCTAAAGATGACAGGCCGAATTTCCAGTGTCATTAACCAGACCCGAAACTCGAGACAGGCCGCGTCTCCTGTGGAAAGCACATTCTCCTCGCGCTTTGCTGCTGATGTTTCTCTGATTATGCCAGATAAGGGCCTTTGGAATCTCAGGTTTGGAAGGTTGTTGTTGTTTTCTTAAGCCCCAACTGAACAGAAACATCATTTCTAAAGATGACAGGCCGAATTTCCAGTGTCATTAACCAGACCCGAAACTCGAGACAGGCCGCGTCTCCTGTGGAAAGCACATTCTCCTCGCGCTTTGCTGCTGATGTTTCTCTGATTATGCCAGATAAGGGCCTTTGGGGGTCCGTTTTTCTTCATATGGATGCTATTATTGCGCGCACGGAGGCTGGGGGTAGCCACTGCTCTCTCGCACGATGGAGGCATGCTGGAGATTAACAATTAATCGGATATTGGCAAGGCACCGCCCCCCCCAGCACCGGAAACTCCAGGATATCGGGATCGCCAATTTCAAATAGATTCAACTTCTCTTTAAAGGACATTCCCAAGGGACTTGATCCACCCCCTCTAGCTGAGGGCAAAGATTCTCCTTTTCTTCCTGGAACTTTGGCCAGCACTTGGCCAACTCCATACATTAAAGGCCAGGAGGAGACAAAGGACGAGGAGTACGTAGACCGGAGTAATGGAGAAGGACCAGAGTTCTGTGTTTGGCCCAGTCCAGAAGGGTCCTGTCCCCTGACTCAGGCTTCCGTGTGCTAGCGTGGTGCAAATAATACATGGCAATCCTCCGGCTGCAAGTGCCTTTGCAAGAGCCGAGGGTGTACGAGGCCATGGGACAGTGGGAGGAGAGGCTGCGAAGTGCATTTCCCGGGGGGGCAGAGGAACTACTACAGAGGAGGTCCTGTGGGTATCAGCGTAGGGCCACGTGGAGCCCTTTGGGGTTCTATGCGTGGCCCAGGGGATGTGTGGTTGACGGTTGCCCACGGACAGGGTTGCCAGATTCCGCTGGTTTCCATCCGTGCAGTTTGTCTCCTGCCGGCGTTGCTATGGTGACATGCACGTAAAGCCAGGGCCCGGGACGGGAGATGGGGGCTGGTGGCCCCCAACGCTGTGAGAGCCGGGTGCTTCCTCTGCGACCTGTCCCCGAGCCGCTACGCTTCAGTCGTTCCCCCCGACACACACACAGTCTAGGCACAGGGCTGGCTTTACCATGAGGCGAACTGAGGCGGCCGCCTCAGGTGCCAGACTGTGGGGGGCGCCACTAGGCCCCAGAGTGTAGAAAATTGTATCTGCTGCTGGTGCACAGAGCTGGGGCAGTGCCATGAGAGGAGTAGACCAGGAAGGAGCCAGAATTGAGACCTTTCAGTTTTGGCCCAAGCCACGGGGGCGTCATGTGAGCTCCCCGCCTCAGGTGCCCAAATGTTGTGGGCCGGCCCTGCCGAGACACGCGGGCGCAGTGAGCAAAACGGCCCCATCCCAGGAGACCGTCTGGGTTCCGACGAGTTTTCGGCCCCATGGAGGTGGAGGAGGGCTACTCCTGTGGCCCGCTCACTAGCCTCGGTGGCCCCTCGCTGAGATAGGACCCAGTC